GAACTGCAGCTAGCAGTCAGCTGAAGTGGCTGCAATACTGCACTCTACCCACTGCGCCACCTCGGCTCTTGCCAATTGTAAGAAATTGTCATCTGAGACATTTATATTTATAGTAGATTATTCATACATTTTATAAATCATAAAAAGCATCTATTGTACTTCATTGCCATCAATTTCACAATAGCAAGAAAGTTTATATTCCCCTTCCTGAATAAACAAAGGACAACTTGACAAGTAATGTTAATAAATCAAAATTCTTTTGGTTCTTTGTTCATGGGCAAGCATAGGCATGAAACAAAAATAAATGTTTTGAGTTTGCTCACTGGAGAATAAATAACTTTAAATTAGGTGTGTGCCGAGAAAAAGGAAGAGACATTCCAGACAGGCAAATACCAATGAACTAGAATTTGGGGCTACTTGCTAGAAGTGACCTTTTCTGAACCCCAAAGTCTTGAAATAAGGCTGCATGCATGTTGCAATCAAGGTCGTAAGAAAGCATGAGGAATATTTCATTAGAAATTGAATTTAGCTTTTTGATAATTATTTTTTCTTAAAGCAGATTTGTAGGCTATGTGGCCAGGGCTAGCTAGCAGAGGCATTTACTGCCATTTATCCGGTTTTTGCAATCCTAGTTGTGCTCAATAGCAACTTTACTACCACACTATTAGTTAACCATAGTTTTATATGGGTAGTTAGTTAACCAAACTAACATAGATTTTTTTTCTAACTGAGGTCTCCCTCCAATGAAAAGGAAAGAATGCTGCTCTTAAGGTTTAATATATTTAGCTTCAGAGGGCATGCTGTAATTAATTCAGGAATGCCATAATTTAGAACTGTTACCATGACCCAAGAGCTTAAAAATAAAAAGGAAGTTTTAAAAAAGGAAGTAAAAGGGAGAAAAATTACTTTGGGGGCTCTGGGAGAAGCTTTTATGGATGGTATAATTGTTTCATTTTAGTCACAAAAGGGGGGGGGCTCCACTACGAGCCACACAGGCCTTTCCTCCAGGCTTTGATAAAAGAGGACTGTCCACCTCAGTGACGTGCAGTGAGGTTTATGGCTGGTGAGGCACTGACACAGGGTTTCAAATTTTTTTAGACTTGTGGACTTCAACTCCCAGAATTCCACAGCCAGGCACGCTCAGTTCCGATTTAAAGTGACAGCATTTGTTTTTATCCTTTGCAAAAAACTTTCCTTCATTCTTTTTTTCTCCCTCCCCCTCCTTACCGCCTCTCTCCCTCCCTCCCCCCTCTCTCAAACAGACACACGCACACAGAGAAGTTGGATCCCTTTCTCACTCATTCATTCTCAAACAAACACAAACACAGAAGTTGGATTGGATATATTTTCCAATGGCTTG